TTAAGATTAATTAGCAGGCATTGATATTTATTAACATGCTATGGACACCTATTGACTAACAAGGTTATGATATTACATTTAGTAATAGGTATTGATATTTATTAATATTGATAATGTTTATTAACAAGCACTGGCAGTTATTATAAGCTATTAAAATATATTAGTATAACTTAAATGCTATTCATACTGATTGATAAGTATTAAGAAGCACTGACACTTATGGATATGCATTAACACAAAGTAACATGTATTGACGTTACATGTATAAATATGTAGTAACAGGCACTGATATTAACATGTATTGATAAGTACTGACTGGTTATTGTCTCTGTTCTCAGGTCTGTCTCAGCCAACCACTAACCTGGTGGCGGGCTGCCTGCAGCTGAACCCTCGGACTTTCCTGCCGGAGCAGACACCTGACCTGCCGGCTCATCTTCCCCCTGCCGGACCTGCTGCCTATCCTGGACACTTCTCCTACCAGAGCCCCGGGCTGACGGCCGGCCTGCCCAGCCCGCCCTATGGCACCATGGAGCCCTCCCACATCTTCCACCAGGTCAAAGGTCAGCCATACGGCCCTCTGGAGCCCTTCTTTGATGGCGTCCTGGTGTCAGACGGCCCAGCTTTTGATCCGCCCCTCAGCCCACCACTCAGCATCAACGGAAACTTCTCCTCGTCCTTCAAGCACGAGGCCGTCACAGCCGCCGACTACGACAAGAGCTTCTCCTTCAGCGTGCACTATGGAGGAGGAGGAGCTGGGGGACACGCTGCCATCTACGGCGGCGGGGGGTCCAACCCGCGGTGTGGGGAGCTGCAAGTGGACGGGTTGATGGGCTTTGACGGACACTCACACCACGAGCGACTGATGAACGCCCAGCTGAACGCCATCTTCCACGACTCCTGAGGAAGAGGAGGATGATGGACTAAGAGACTGATGGAGACAGAGACAGACAGACAGACAGACCATTATATATCTTTCTTTCTGTCCTTCTTTCTTCTTTCTGTCTGCGTCAGGCTCTACGACTCTGGTCATGAGGACGGTGGTGTTGGCGATAATATCACGTTGTTGATGTAATCTTTGTAGCGCTTCATTCTGAGGAGACGCTTTCTGAATGTCTCATTGTTATCCATATTATCACTTAAAAATAATCAATAATCAATAAGCAATAATCTGGAAGAAACTATGCAATTTTGTTAAAACCTGAGCAATGCTCAGTTGATGATTCCAAATGTTGAAAGAATAAAGATTTCTCTATTTTTGGGTCAGTGTGTCAGTGAGGCGATGCTGGGCTGGTGTTAGGCTGGTTTCCAAGCCGGGAGTGGGCCGGGAATGGGCCAGGAGTGTTCATGTTGTTCATGTGGTTTTTACTTTATGCTTTTTATAACGTTCCTGTAGCGTTCTGTTAACATTTCATGTGACTCTTGTTCATATTTTATAAGATAGATGTTTATAAAGGCCTTTTATTAAAAGGAATTCAATGTGATTCATTTGAGAGACTCTTTTTATCAGCAACAAAACAAGACAACAAAACACCTCAGTTTAGTCAAGTTCACTCTGGTTGTATCTTTCAAGCTATCATCAGTTTGTGCCGCTCATGTATTAGCATGCATTCAAGTCACAGAGGTAACCATCAGTTTCTTTAAAAGATAATTGAACAGTACTTATAATGTCTAAAACACATTTATACATAAAACACTGAGATCATAAAAACTCAGCCAATAAACTCAATATGTCCTCAGTGTCACATAAAATCCCTTTATCTCCAGGAGCAGCTTAATGTTTAATGCAGACAGTGTAAAGATCAAGCCTGAATTTGTTGATCCACACTTTTCAGAACCAGGATGAATTTCCACCATGTCAGCGGATTAATTGCTCAAACAATCAACAATCTTGCCGTTAGATGGTTAGATGTGCAATTTGACAAAGTAATACTACCAATCTCTTTTTTTAGGACAGGGCAGTCCTCTTTTAATCAAACCTTACTGGAATTTTCAATGGACAAAACAACTCAAGGGCTACATGTTTACACTCACACCCACATTGTGCCTGGTTGACTAAGCCATAGTCTTTTGCTGTACAGACAGGGTCATTATAACATATCGTATGAAATAACAGAGCGTATAAGATTAATAAAATTGCAGTGTCTTCTCACTTTAAGATAGATGCAGATATCCTTAAAAATAACAAGACTGAAAACCTTTTTGAGAGGTTGACGTTTTGGAGATACAAGGTTTCTATGTGACAAAAGCATTATTTTAAGTGGATTTTAGGTTCCAAGTATGATACTAAACACATATCTCCTTACAGAGAAAACCCTGTTAACATGTTAACAGCATTATCACACCGACTGAAGGACAAAACCAGGATTTGTGTGTGTGTGTGTGTGTGTAGTGTGTGTGTATCGATGGGTGTGTTGTTGTGCTATCTTTGTGGTGTTGTGTGTGTGAAGGGCACAGATGTTCGTTCTGCAGGCAAGACTTTAATTTATGAAAATGATCTCGTTTATGCATGAGAGCCCCCCTCCATACATACTGCTGTCCTGCTGTGTGTGTGTGTGTGTGTGTGTGTGTGTGTGTGTGTGTGTGTGTGTGTGTGTGTATGTGTGCATGTGTATGTGTTGAAGTGTGTAAGTCAACAGGGACAATATGGTGGCCATATCCCACCATTTAGCCTCCCTGTTAAAGTGGAATAATAATGAGAGCAATTCAGACTGCAGCATAAAGATTCACTCATCCAAATAAAACAGAATCTATTAAAAAACTATACATAAAATCTATACAAAAATATCAAAATAGTCACAATACAAACAAATTCTGCTTTAAAATAAATGACAAGACACTAAAATTATTAAGCTGAACATCGTGTGGACCTTTCACATTACAGAAGACAGCTACTGAAGTAGCAGCAGTAGTATTAGCAGTATTAATAGCAGTATTAGCAGCAGTCTTTGAGATAGAGGGTTTTGTATTTCAGTGTGTTGGCTGATCATAACACTGATTAATGCAGCTTAATCTTAGCCATCTGTCATCAACACACACACTGCGTGTTTGTAGCTCATAAGGTATTTATTCATCAGCCAGGGCGCATCCTGCTTTCTGATTGGTTGGCAAGTGTCTGTGAAAATCATGTACAGTATGATGACAGTGCTCAAGATATCTTAACCTGCAGGTAACAATAACAACAGTACTGACACTTCGAACCTGGTTAGCACTTACCTGAAACTGACCTGATCATGAGTTAAACTGATTACAGACACATTGTAAAGGAATAGCTGCCTGTCTTTTTGTTCATATGGTACATGATAATTTTCTCCCAGGTTTCTACACAGAGACAAAAGTGGACTCATCTCCACTGAGTCCACTTCCAGAAAACCTACATCATAATAATGATTTGTACACACATAAAATTATAATAAGACTAAGAGTTAGAAATTGTACTCATTTGAACAGTATTATTACTGTATTATCAACAGGATATTGCTATACAACTGTGCAAATTTACTGTGACATTAACAACAACAGTATTGTATTATTAACAGTGCTTTGCTGTTGGTGACGCATACAGGTTGTCACTGTAAAACCAACCAATCATGAGGGATTAATACTCCTTGACTGTGAAAACTTCTGATAACTCATTAATTAGCATAAATTACTACAAACCAAAATAAACTAGTAGTTCTTGATTGTGAAAACTAACCAGGTGCGGAACTAATTGAATTCAACAATTCTACCTTTTTCATTCACTTTATTCTGCTCTAAGACTGCTATAGCTGGTGTGTGTGACGGCTATTGTAGAAGATATATTTGGGAATACCTATCAAGCAAATCAAAAGTTGAAATAATGACATTTCCTCTCAACACGTTTACAGATACTAGAAAGTGTTTCTAGATTTTTATAGTTACTGGGATACTGCTTTGAACTTGCAAATTTGCCGGAGAGTGGGTCATGAAATGTTCTTAAATGCCTGATGTTGCTTTCTTCACAGTTCATTATCATTATCCACTTGCAGTTTCATCTCTGGGAGCTGCTACACCTCCCCTTCATTTTTCAAGACTGTTTCAAATTAAAATTACTTGTTAAAATTATTGGATTGCTCTTTTTCTCCTCCCTCTAGCTGTGTTTACTGTTTTTTTCTGTTTGCATCCACCTGAATAAATGCCCAATGTTCAGTCTCTTTTAGCTCTGTTTTTGGTCTCCACCAACTCCTGATGGAAATATCTGGCTGCTAAATGCTAGTTGCTAACTTAGCCTGTCTTGATGTTACAGTGGGTTTTAATTTTCACTGAAAAATTAGCGGCCTGAGAGACTGGACCAGACAGGACAGGTTCTATGAATAAAATAATAAAATAATGAGTCAAACTGGTTTAAAAAAGACTGTACAGCTGTAGAGACAGTATGATTAGGCGATTCATTTCCAGTTTTTTTTTTTAAATTAAATGTTAAAATAAATTACAAACATGAGGTTTTCTAGGTTTACTTGAAGAAAAGTAATGCTCACATTAAGTATCATTTTCAGTTTAGATGACGTGAATACTTCTTTCTCCACTGATGCTCTCTAACCGATTACAAACTGATGTAAAGACGCAGCTTTAAACTCCTCTGGGTTTACACACTGTGTGCGCGCTCCCTCGTATCCGAGGGATATACGCGCGCCCGCCCGCTGATTACACTCTGGTAGCTCTGTTGCGTTGCCCGAGCTGTGAGTCCACGCGGTAAAGCTGATGCCAGTCGCCATAGCGACGAGACCCCGGAAATACACCACAACCTGCCGTTCGTGATCAGCTTACTGCACGTTTATCTGTCGCTTCGTTTATCAGAGAGGGACTCTGTTTGTTTGTTTGTTTATTTATTTGTTTGGTCAATAAACATGTCGGAGCCTGAAGAGGAGCTGCAGGGAGAGCAGCGAGACAGCACGAAGAAGAAGAAGAAAGAGAAACGGAGCGGGAAGAAGAAGAAGAAGCAGAAGGAGAAGCGGGAAGAAGAAGAAGAAGCACAGCAGCAGGTGGAGGAAGATGAGGAGGAAGAGCACAGGTGAGTGGGTCTTCTGAGGTTCCTTCAGGTCCAAGTTCTACACAGAACCAGAACAGAGTTAAGTTTAAGTTTAGTGAAAGAAGATCCTTAAATTCTTCCCTACAGGTAAAGTATCAAGAACATTGTTTTACAACTCTTTCAAAGTAAAAGCTGTGTGGTCAAAACCATACCAAATTAAAAGTAAAAGAATGGATCTTGCAATAGTTATGTTTTTACCTATGGTTTTTACCATAGTTTTTTACAGAGGCACAATGAGAATTCTTTAATCTGAAATGTTTTTTGTGTTCCCTCGCAATATTTTTTACATTCCCCCTGATCCATACAGTCAAGTTTAGGGAAGCACTGCAGATACTCCAGAGACAAGAGGTGGTGTGACACGTCACATGATGCATTTATTCCTGATTCCTTCATTCAAAGGCTAAACTCCAACAGTATACAGCCACCAGCTGTGAGCACAACTGCAGCTGCTCTGCCTGCGATAGGTGAAACTGTGGCTGTAGCTGCATATGTGGTTGAATATTTTGCTATGGACATGGCTACAGTAGTTGCACTGTGGCTACTCTTTACTGCTCCTGTTAAAACTAGCCAAGAAAGCATTGTTAAGTCACACAAAGTCTTTCTATTACATATGACAGATGTGTCAATACACCTTGAGTTCAGGAATACAGTAACTTACAATACAACGCACAGCCGGTACAATCATGTCAATTCACTGCACACCGAAGACCTAATGTAGTTAATATTACACCCATTATAAAGTAATGTCACAGTAATCACAACAACTAAATCACAATTAGCGACAGCGGTAGCCAAAGTTATATCATCACCTAGCTATTGTCATAATTTGATTTAATTTCACTTTATAATCAGAAAATGTGTCTTTTGTCCCCAGGTGTCTTCTGTTTCACATACACACATAAACAAAATATACAGACGAACAACAAAACAAACACTACAAACATACAATACATCAGCCAATAAGTAGCTGCAGCGCACACACTTAATTTCTTTAATTTTTCTACATTGGACAACAACACTAGAGACATCATGACTATAAAATAACATATGTAAATATGTGGTAAACAAAAAAGTGTTGAACCACTGCATATTTCATATTTTAGATTCCTCAAAGCAGCCACTGTTTGCACACTATAAGCATGGTCTTAACCAGCTTCATGAGGTGGTCACCTGGAATGGATTTCAGTTAACAGGTGTGACTTGCCAAAAGTCAATTGGTGGCATCTCTTGCCTTCTCAACGAGACCAAACACAACAGCCCGTCAGCCCTTTAAGACCTTTAAGACATGAAGGTCAGTCAATCCAGAAAATTTCAACAACCATCAAAATCATCAAACTCTATAAACTCTCTCATGTGGACCACCCCGGGAAAGGAAGACAAAGTGTCACCTCTGCCTCAGAGGATAAGTTCATTAGAGTTACCAGCCTCAGAAATCACCAATTAATGACACCTCAGACTGGAGTCCACATCAATGTTTCCCAGGGTTCAAGTTGTAGACTCATCTCAACATCAACTGTTCAGAGGAGACTGCATGAATCAGGCCTTCATGGTTTAATTGCTACAAAGAAACCACTTCTGAGGGAGACCAATACGAAGAGGAGGCTTGCTTGGGCTAAGAAACAGAAGGAATGGACATTTGACTAGTGGAAAGTTGTACTTTGGCCATGTCTTTGTGAGATGCACAGAAGGTGAACGGATGGTATCTGTGCGTGTGGTTCCCACCGTGAAGCATGGAGGAGGGGGTGTGGGGGTGCTTTGCTGGGGACACTGTTGGCAATTTATTCAGAATTCAAGGCACACTTAACCAGCATGGCTACCACAACATACTGCAGCGACATACCATCCCATCTGGTTTGCGCTTAGTGGGACCATCATTTGTTTTTCAACAAGACAATGATCCAAAACACACCTCCAGGCTATGTAAGGCCTATTTCACCAAGAAGGAGGGCGATGGAGCGCTGCATCAGACAACCTGGCCTCCACAACATCTGAGTTGGACGGCAGAGTGAAGGAAAAGCAGCCAACAAGTGCTCAGCATATGTGGGAACTCTGTTGGAAAAGCATCCATGAAGCTGGTTGAGTGAATGCCAAGAGTGTGCAAAGCTGTTATCAGAGCAAAAGGCGGCTACTTTTAAGAATGTAAAATTTAAAAAATACTGTGCTTTGTTTACTCTTTTCTTTTACTTACTACATGTCATTTCATAGTTCTGATGTCTTTAGTATTAATCTACAATGCAAAAAAAAAAATAGAATAGAATCAAAGAAAAGCCATTAGAGACAATGAGTCCAAACTTTTGACTGATACTGCAGATTTAAAAAATAATAGGATTTGTGTATTTACTCCGAATGATCTCAAGAAAGTAAATATATTGTTGTACTTTGCTACAGATATCATTTATATGAGTTATTATACAAGTTATGAAAGACCTTCTCTGTATTTTCAATGTCTGATTAATAATGCAGTGTATTGTGTGTGTCAGTGAGTGTGTTGTGCTGCGTGGGATCTTCAAACTGGGGAAGAAGAGTCATGATGTACTGCTCACCCGAACCAGACTGACCTGGACCCCCATCACCCCCGAGAACCCCACAGGTCAGTTACTGCGGTGACGCGTTGTCATGGTTATGACTGCTGACAGGCAGACAGACTGTGTGTATGTCGAGGCAGCTGGTGCTGTAATGGAGAACTTCTATCATGTTGAGACCACCTGAAACTTGACATCTGGACACGCACATCCACTGCATGGGGGACAATCTGAATGCTTCCCATGGCTCTTTATCGGGGGCAGGAAAGTTAACCAGGACCCTGTTTCCCAATAAAGATCGATGTTAGAAGTCAAAGAGGTTTTTCTAAAAGCATTTCTATGAACACTCACGTTTCCCAAAGCAGCACTTAAGAGTGAGTGCACATGCATGCTGTTAGCTTCTTAAGGCCAGCTGTCTGTGATGCTGAAAACCAACTTTGCTTAATTATCTGTGTCTATAAGCTGTGCCATACATTAAAAATACATCCATTGATATTGACCCAAAATGAAGCAGTGGTGGTTTCCGTAATCTGATGTGATTCTATCATAATTTCTGTATCAGACTTGCTGTATATAAGCAGCAAACAACATGCACATAAATAAAAAGAAAAGGGAAGATATGAAATCTGAACATTTACCATCAAGTGTCATTTCGGCAAGAGGTATTGAAAAGGCAAGAAGAGGGAGAGGAGTGTGATGATGATAGAAACTGCAAGATGAAATAAGCAAATCAATTGCTGAATTCATTTGCGCTTGTGTCTTAGTTTAGTTTTTCGTTTTTCTAATCTAAACACTATCCATCATTTTCCATTAAATACATAAGTAACTTAACAAAGAGCACTAGCATTCATGATCAAAAACAATAAATAAATAAAGCCTAGTTTTTTTGGCTCTTCCTGTAGGTTCTGAAGCTTCTTAAGATGCTCCTAGTTTTTTAAATCCAAACTGCACCCAAACACAATTTTTATTGAATTTTTCCACAAATTGTCAAAAGAAAATGTGAATTACGGTGCGTCTCCATCCATGACTGTTGTGCTTATAATAGGACTTGGATGCACGAAGGGTTTTGAATCCAATACTAACTAATACCAGAGCCAGCATCACCAATATCAATACTGATTATTATTATTCATTGTTAAAAGCAGCTAATGCTTTCATGTAAGTAAATATGTAATTTATGCGGTGAATGCATTATTAAATCTACAAACATAATGTTCGAGTCATGAAAGAGAAGAGAATTGTGATTTTTTTTTTTGTGATCTGACAACCTGGACTCACTGTAGGTGTAGGCCACCACCATCCTTCATGCAGTATCTCATCCATGTTGGTTTCCTGCAGCGTTGATCACAGCAGACGCCTCCAGAAAGACACTTCATTCTGTGTGATTACAAGCAGCAGCAGAAGCTCAATTTCAGGCCAGCTACATCTCCAGCAAGCTAAAAACAAACACACAGATTTTCAGTTAGTACACAGACTTAAAGAGCCACGGCTTTTAATTTTTCTGCAAGAGGACAAGTGTATGAAATTGATGGACCTAAAACGAGCCTTCTCCAGTTTGGAATAGATAGTTTAACAGATCCTTTAAACGTTAACAGTCTCTGTTTTGGTCATGTTGTGGTAATATTATTATACTGTTTTGGTAATGTCCTGTGTTGTGTGTTAGTTTTTGGTTGAAATCCATTCAGACAGAACTGGTTAGTGGAGTAGGATGAAGGTGTAAATACAGTGTGTGTGTGTGAGAGTGTGTGTGTGAGAGTGTGTGTGTGTGTGTGTGTGTGTGTGTGAAGCCAATCTGTTTTGCTGTATTTCATCCAAGCTAATGTCATTAAGCCAGAACTCTGTGAGTGTGTGTGTGTGTTGGCAGTAGTAGAGAGCAGTTGGTTCAGCCCGTGGGGGGTTATTAGAGTCTCTCAGTGTGAGGAGATTAACACACACACACACACACACACACACACACACACACACACAGCATGCTGACAGGCTGACTGTGTATGTGTGTGTGTTGATTATATATTTCTATATAAATGGATCAGCTGTTGTTGTTTATTTCTACACATGAATTCATCCTGTCTCACCCAACAGCCTATCTGTCTGTCTGCCTGCCTGCCTGCCTGTCTGTCTGTCTGTCTGTCTGTCTGTCTGTCTGTCTGTCTGCCTGCCTGCCTGTCTGTCTGTCTGTCTGTCTGTCTGTCTGCCTGCCTGCCTGCCTGCCTGCCTGTCTGTCTGTCTGTCTGTCTGTCTGTCAGACAGTTCAGGTCTCACCTCCCAGACACACAGACAGTGTTTTGTATCAGTACTGAACCTCAGGTATTGTACCTGCAGCAGTATGAAAGAATTTCAACGACTCCCAGCTTCATGTAGTTTGAAGTTAGTACACAAGAAATCAGTGTATGTTAATGTTTTGTACTGATGTGAAATCATGACACATACATGCTAATGGCTTTCAATAGAGTGTCAAAGAGGAAGGGGATATTTCAGGCATCCCTGGTTTTTGAGGTAAAAGTCCTATTAATTTTCTGTGCAGTTGCTTTGGATAAAAGCATCTGCCAAATGAGTAAATGTAAATGTAATACAACCTGATTGTTACATTATTCAGGAGAGTCTTTTATTATTTATAAACTATTTTGACAAAATTTAATAACTCTTTTTTTGTTTTCCAAAATCTTCAATTTCATAAAATTCTCCAGCCTTGCCAAGCACCTCTACTTCCTTTGTGCCATGTACTGTGGAACATCGTGTCCATCTCCGACAGCGAATTTAGTCTGTGTTTTGGCATAAAAAAAAAAAAACCTGCTCAGGTTAACTATTAGTATGGAATTGGGACGCTCTGCTTTCCTGCAGTAAAGTATCTCTGGAGATTTTAGACTGAGTGTGAAGGAATGATAACTGATCAATTTACAATCAATTAACAATATCAGAGCGGTGGCGCAGTTTACATGATCAGTATCATCAGTGACAACTAGGGAGAGATGCAGCGCTGCAGCCTGTGAGTGTGTGTGTGTGTGTGTGTGTATAAATTACAATCCATCTCCCCACAGTCCGCCACATGGCCTTGTCACCATGAGACTGGACTGGCACTGTGTGTGTGTGGGTGTGTGTGTGTGTTGTGGTGTTGTCCCTACACGTCTAATGATTTACTTTTAGGGTTTTTATGTGTTTTTATTGTTGAGTTTAAATTAGAAGAAGGTGAAGCCTCCAGGTAGCAAATGGAAGTTCACATAAGGGCGTCATAATGATAATAATACCAACATAACGTATATGTTTGTTTGTGTGTGTGTGTTGTACATGTCTTTCTATGGCTGAGTGGACAAATCTTTGAAACCATCATTGTGAGGACTTTATCCGGTCCTAACAACGTCAAAGGGCTGTTTGAGGGTTAATTTTAGGGTTGGGTTTTGGCATTTAGTTGTGATAGTTATGATTATAGTAAGGGGCTAGGGAATGCATTATGTCAATGACACCAATCTGTGTGTGTGTTTGTGTGTTTCTATGTGTGTGTTGGCACAGTGGGTTGATGAGGGCATGATGGGAAACTCATCTCCATCTGGAACCAACACACTACCTGTGATGGGCAATACACAGTGACAGTGTGTGTGTGTGTGTGTGTGTGTGTGTGTGTGTGTGTGTTTGCACGCAGCGCTCTGTCAGCTCAGATCAGAGTCATCTCTATTGGAGTGGATGGAAAATCTGTCTTTCTTAATTTGATTTTTCCATGTTTTCTGTTTGGATGGCATTTGTGTCACCCAAACATAATAAGAAAGAAAACAGCAAAACAACGACAGAGCCACAGATCTACAGAGCTTTTTTTCTAGCCTTTTTAGTTGATGGTTTTTGGTTTAATGACACATTGTTTTCATCACTTTTATCAACTTTGTTTCATGCTGTAGCAGGCAGCTGTTTTCATCAGACAAGCTCCAATAAACCCACTGTACACTACCTGCTTAACACTAAACAACAGACAGACAGAATAAGCATCTAGCTGGTGAAAAAAGTGTAAAAATGTAGCTTCTGGAGACTAACTGTGAATATTTACAATATTAAATGAACACAATGAGCAGACAATGAAACAAAAACAACAGACACAGTCACTCTGACATATGGATGCTGGCCTCTCCGGGTGGACGAGGGGTGGGTTGTTCGGGGTATGTGATATCTGATAACAGCAGGAGGGTATTTCATAGAGAGGAGGGGTTAATCAGCTATCATCAAATATAACTATTTCCTGATGAATCCGTCCCCTCTGAGTGGTTCAGAGCTGTTTATATTTTACATGTGTAATCATATAAGATATGTCTTCAGAGGTGACAAATACTATACATTAATAAACACTTAAAGTAATTAATTAATACAAAAACATCCTTATATCTGCTCACATTTACATGAAAGTGTGTTAAACCATTTATTATATGTATACTGCTTATAATTACCTATAAATGCTTAATAGGGGATAGTTGAAAATTGCTACCCATTAAATTATAATAACAAAATTATGCCTTCACTTGATATTACAATGTTCTGAGTCCCTTTAGTTGCTATTCATTGAATGGTCAGACAAGTTCAGAATATTGAAAATAAATTAGTAATGACCAGGGTTCTTCAGAGGACTCAGATGAGATTACACATGCTGGGAGGATAAGCTTTGGGAGCATCAACAAAAAGGTTTGTAGCTATAAATAGCTGTTATGAAGTAAACATAAAATAGGTTACACTTTGGTTTGGGCTCCAATCTTTGGGCCTGTTACATATCACATACAGTATTTAATATTATATTCTGTCTATAGCAGGGCTGTAAAACAGAGGTTTAATTCTGGATAGATGGATATTCTAACTTATTTATCTAGATCTGGATGGATTTGAATATTTCTGATGATTAAAGTGGATTAATATTATATTTTTTTCATGTACAGATGTTTGTCCACCTGCCACGACATGTGTCTGTCTGAATCTGGTTTGATCTTCGAAATAAAAGTCAATTTCATGCTGCAAACACAAACAAGCGGTGCTGCAACTAATGATTAATTTCATCATCAAGTGATTTGTTGATTATTTTCTCAATAAAAGGATTAAAGGATAGGTTCACAATTTTGTGTGCACTCTCTCTGTGTGTACACTCACTCAGTACATTCTATTGGATCCTCCAGAATATCCTCTATATGAGATTGTACCATACCATTTTGCCATACTGCTTTTGGGCAATCAGCTCTAACAGCCACAAATCAGTGGAACAGCCTGCCTGACGATGTGAGGGGCTGCAGCTCTATCAGCAGCAAAACCAACTTTTAAACTTTGCTAAAAGCAGCTCAGCCCTGCACTCACTGATTTTGATATTCCATATATTTTTTTGTATATTTGATGTTGTTTCTAATCTGTACAGTTTGTTATTGCCTTGTTTCTTTGCACCGACCAGCCAAGGCACTACAGATGTAAATTAGCTTGAAACTGTAATCTGGGACGGTTCATCAAATGGTGACATTTATGTTTGAGCTGTACACTGTCCCATGAATTAATAATTTTTTCAAGTGTTTCGTACAAAATCCAGGTGACCATATCAACAATAACAGATTTTGCTTGCTGTAATCATTTCTCCTGGTCATACTGGCCATTAAAACGTCCCCTTGGAACAAAGCCTCCATTATATGTTACGTGGTTTGCTTCATGTGTTTAGATAAGAAGAATTTATCTTGTTTATTTAATATGTATAATTTTATTGGCCCATAATGAACATCCTGTCCTATAAGTTCTTCACGTTTGCAGGCTATGTGTCACATCTGGACAGAAGAGTTAGTTGTGATTACTTCAGACATGTCTCTAGTAACAGCACGCTAGAGAGGACTTAGTTACTTAGAGGACTTTAGAAAGTAGAGATTACAATCAGAAAGTTGGGAGCTTTAGTTTTTTGCGATCACAAAGTAACAGAGAAGTAAATCCTAGAAACACACTGCATTTTTTCATAAACATTATAATGTGGCTAGTGGAACAGAGGCTAGCTCAGATGTGACATTATGAGTTTGTCTCTTTGTTAAAATAGATTACAATTATTTTTCTGTTGATTGATTGTTTCAGCCCTACACACAAACAAACTTTCCTGGTTCAGGGAGCATTATACAAATATTGAATAGTCACAGTTTGAATCAAAAGTCATCATAAAAAAGAGTGATAATTCACCTTGTTGGTGCTGGAGGTGTCCTGTACACAGTTTGATGTCTCTTTTATAATGGTGGTCTATGGCAAAATGCTTTTTGGTCTTTTTGGGGACTCTGCTGCTCTGTATCAGCTCAGTTATTAACAAACAAGGTATGAATAAAGTGTGTGTGCATGTGAGTGTGTGTTATGCAACTCTGAGCTCTGCTGACATTATCCTCAGAAGATTAGATGATTAATCGCACACGAACCAATCAGATTCGGAGATTCCTCTCCGATTACACTGATTGATTGACAGGTGTTGCTAAACACTCTGCTGATCAATGGATTAGTGATTAATAGAGTTAATTATATTATGTAACGTGAACACAGGTGAACCAACAGCATTAGCACGTTACATTCACATTTTACTATGACTGACAAGGACGGAGGACAAAATAATGTAAACACCTCCTTTTTGCACACTGATTATCAGTGATCAGATAATGTTATTCACAAATTCAAAACTAATTACAGAGTTTTTATAATTATCAGTAAACAATAAATAGTGACTCTGCAGACATACAAAACTTAACCTAATTCATAAAACAAACGATAAACAAGGATGTATAATAGCACTCATTATAATAATAATGATAATGATAATAATATTAATAGAAAAAATTAATAAATAACATTTAATAATAGGCTTAATATAACAATAATATGATTGTTCATAGAAATCACTGTTTTTATTTCAGTATTACATAAGACAAAAAATTCTTGTATTTAAAAGAGAAAAGATAAGAAAAGTCCAACTTTTAATGTCATCGACAGCTATGCTAATATCAAAGTTACCTTAAAGGAGCTATTTGTAAGTTATGCTGTTGCTACATAGCCAACGTTAGCATTAACAGCTGTTTACAATACCAGTCTTGCTAAGAGCTTCAGTCATCGTTGTGTTTACAATACAAGTTTGTAATACGTCCTCTCAGCAGCGCTACTTTTTCAGGGCAGCCTGTACGCTACAGTGACTCGGTATCGGAAAGTGACAAGATAGGCTAGGGCTAGCTGGTTAGTATGTTAACGTCAGTAGAGAAAGACAAACAAAAGGGTTGCTTTCCACCGCTAGAGACAGCTCTTGGTGAGTAAAGGAATAAAGTTTGATGCTGAACTCGCAACATTTGTTATTTTAAGGAGCATTTTGACATTTTAGGAAATACAGAAACATGAACACAACTGGAGTCAACAGTCTTTTCACACAAGTCTACACTTAGTAGTGAGCAGTAACCTTTAAAAAACTACATCTTAGTAAAGTCAGATGTATGTTGTGTTCAGGTGTTGTGTGTTCTTCCCCTACCTCTGCAGGTGAGGCGTGCGTGCTGCAGCCAGGTGTGATGCTGCTACAGGACGTGTTTGCAGTGAAGGTGAAGCGGCGGCGAGCAGCGGGCCAGGAGTCTGGGGGAGCTGTGCTCGGTGTGGCTCTGTTCTGCTGCAGGAGGAAAGGGAGGAGGCTGGAGGAGGACACGCTGCACCTCCACAATGCCTCCGCCGAGCACACAAACACCTGGTACAACACCCTGAAGGAGCTGCTCACAGGTAACACACACATACATGTTTGTGTATCATCAACAGTAATGAGTGATCAGTCTCCCATTACAATCATTAAACATTCAAACAAAAACCTACAATCAAATCCTCAGTTAACCCAGGTAATTATGTTACTGTAAAATCAGACAACTGCAGTCGTTAGTCGACCTTAAAATCTCACTGAAAATATCCAACATCAACTTCAGGGTTGANCTACAATCAAATCCTCAGTTAACCCAGGTAATTATGTTACATCAGCACCATCTGATCACCTGGTCAGCACCAACGTAAACATCACCNCAACTGCAGTCGTTAGTCGACCTTAAAATCTCACTGAAAATATCCAACATCAACTTCAGGGTTGATTAGGAATAAGGTGCAGCTGTGCAGGTGAAGGGGGGGGGGCACCTCACTGACAGTGAGAGCAGCTGAGATCAGCACCATCTGATCACCTGGTCAGCACTAACGTAAACATCACTCGCTGCACCTCTTACACTTGAACAAGACACTGAACCCCAGCATACCGTGCTTTGGACGGAAGCTTCTGACAAATGGAAATGCTGCTTTTGGACGCTTTTAGTACCATAAACCAATTAAAATGCCAATTTTAATTAAATTCTAAATCAAACCTTAACTATCAGCACAGTGGGATGGCATTCAGTGACTGGGAATACGTATTTCTTTGTGATTTAGATTAATTAAACCACAGATATCGCAGGTTGGAGCCTCCTCCACATAGAGTCCTTGTCAACCTGATAGACTCGTTAAAAAAACAGGCCGAGTAAGATTGAGTTTGTCTGTGTTACATAAGAGCTGAGATACACTGGAAACATGACTCATTACTTCTGTGAGCGTCATACTGTAAGATGATTACAAGGGTTGAGTAATACTGTTGTTATTAGCACTAACTGTCTTTGTATACATTAAGCTGTCCATAGGCTCATTGGTGATTCTTTTCATAATTATAAAAACAAAGCTAACCATGACAAAGGTTAGTATTGTATTCAGTCACTACCCCTGTACACAATTTAACAAAGTCACTTTGAGCAGCCAGTCTTGTCTGTTGCCTTTGTACTGACTCTGGTATGAAGCTTTAAGTTCTTCATGTCAAATGAAAAAATGACTCTTTAAATTGGGAAAATGTCTGTCTGTCTGACTGTGTGACTGAACTAGAATCCAGGTTGTTCCACCCACAATCTCATGTGATGGCTCCCCCTGTTGGCCTCCAGTTCATCATATCCCTGTCATCTGAAAGTCAAGCTCCAGCTTTTGTGCTTCAGTTCACCAGTGGAGGGTTGGTCATAATAGGAGCACTTCATTAACTGTCTGCCCGCTCCCCAACTCTCCTTTTTGTCACCTGCCCCTCTAAAATGTGGTCTGTTAGTCATTCATTTATAATGATTTTAACTTCTAACTGCCTGGACTTTTTCATGGCTACAGAAACTTTGCTTACTCCAAATGATCCTGTCCCCTTTAATGATTCTACCTTCTCTCATTTTCATCTCCCCCAGCGCTCAGGTCAGGTTTATACAGACCTCCTAAGATAAATGGTTTTATTGATGAATTCTTTGAGCTAGTCTCTCTTGTTGTACCCAAATATGATAAAGTTGTCATCCTTGAAGATTTCAATATGCATATACGCTGTCCTTCTAATCATCTATCCCGGGATTTCCTGGATCTTATCGAATCTTTTATCTTAAATCAGATTGTTAAAGGCGCCACACATTCACTCACTTAGTGGATTTCTCTCCATGATCACTGCACCTTTGTCTACTTTATGTCTGTGGGTGACATGATATGAGACAAAACGTGCACACGTCTCATGTCCAAGGATTAGCTAGTTGTCAGACAGCTGCAGTGCTAGCTGCTCAGATTATAATTTCATTGTTTTCTATCAGCTTGTTCATCACTCAGTTTAATGAGGTGAGTCACAGTTACATCAGACAAGAGAGCTAATCTGCTAATCCACCACAGAGAGACAAAGAGACACAGATTACACACACACACACACACATTCAGCAATACTCAGTAACATGTCATCAGCAGTTGAATCATGCTGTCTACGAGAGAGATTAGCCTCAGCACTGTCTACAAACGTGTGTCCAGTTCATTTTACTTCAAGATGAAAGTCTGTAGGAACTTTAAACATTAGCTCATACACACTACAGGGCCAAAGGTATGTGGACATTTGACCATGACACCTGTATGTGACGGTTCAACATGTGGTTCCAAAAACATGAGCATTAAGCTCCTTTCCACCAGATTTCTGAACCTGGCTAAAGAGATTTGCTCCCATTAGACTACAAGAACATTACTAAGGCCCAACACTGTTTTCCACAACAAAAACACAGACGGAGAGGAGAGGAGATTTATATCAAACTTCTCCTCTTCGTCTCAGAAAGAAAGAAGTAAAAGGTATCGTGCAAAATGTTAAATTCTTCTTTTAAAGCTGCATTAGTCAATATTTTTTATGTTAACAATGGATTAAAATACTTCATGTAATCGGAAAGGTGTGACAAAACTACAGAGAATTATCACCCAGTCTGAGTTCCCATCAGCTCTCAACACTATCACAGAGTCATTTTAATCGCAGCAGACTGCTCAGACCTGCTCAGACCTGCTCAGCACCAAACGGCAGACGGATTGGATCGGATAGGACTCAGAATCAGCACATATCCAAAATTAAAGGACTCGGATCTAAGTCCACAACTCTAGTTTTTTCTTTCATCTTTTCACTCATGATTCATCAACATTTATTGACATTTATTTTTTTGCATCTCATCACTTCCCTCAACCCTGTTTGTATCCTACCTACCTGCTGCTCAGAATCTATCAGGAGGCAGGCAAAGTTAAAGACTTCAAACTCATTCACCTATTAGAGCCATATTTTTTTCAGGGGCAGGTGGAGACCAGACCAGAGCTAAAAGGAGAGTCAATATTGGACATACATACATCAGATGAATACAAAAATCTGATAGTTATATAAATAGGTGTAAACAGAAAGCTGTTTGCTAACAATGTTATTGTCAACGTCACAACATCAACGTCACAACATCAACAAGAACGTCACAATAAATGTTGATGAATCTGATCCATCATGTTAAACATGTTTCCTGTAAAAAATAAAGCTGCATGAATTCAGACAACTTCAACCTCAGCAGCACGAACACCTCCTGACAGGACCTGTTCAATAACGCTCTGGACGTTGCTGCAGGCTGAAGTTCCCAGACGCTGGTTTCCCAGGTGCACTGAAGTGGGCGGTGCCTGGCTGACACTTTATACACAATAGAAATGTTGTGAGTCCCGGGTGTATGGATTTAACTCACACACACACACACACACACACTTTACATTTCAGGTTTTCTATGTTCATCCAGCGATGTCAGCTCCAACAGAGACGTTACAAGCTATCCATAAATTAAGAGGTCGAAGGTCACGCACACACGCTGCCATCGTCCTGTCACCATGGCATCGGTCTGACATGTTATCGCTGGTCACCTGTCTGTCTGTCCGTCTGTCTGTCCATCAAACCAGATTACCCATGAGGCCCAGCAGCAAAGTCACAACTTCTTTAAGTATTTGTGCTTGGCCTCTCTCTCTCTCTCTCTCTCTCCCTCTGTCACACACAACCACCACACCCACAACACACAACACATCACACATCACACCACTACACACACACACACACACACACACACACACACACACACACAAATGGCTCACAGGTCTTGTGTCAGCTCACATGGTCACACTGCACATCAAACTGTGATGGCTTTTGTGACTTTACACACCGCGGCGGAGGAGTTTGGTGTGTGTGTGTGTGTGGAAGGTAAACACACACATACGGTCGCTCTGCTGCTGTGCGGACATTAAGCCTATTTTCCAGCCAGAGGTCAGTGTGAAAAGCGTATTGTTTTGTGAATCGTGGCGTTGCGGAGCGGGCAGTCCACCGCCACTTCTTAACCTTCGGGTCCGAACATTCAGCTGCACAATGGTGAGCAGAGAGCAGACACTTCCTGTTTCCACAGCGTTATTCTGTGCCGTTTGCTGTATGAAGCAGCTGCAGAATGCTATGCAGAGAGTGAATGGCAGTCAGAGTGACAAAAGGCGAGTAGTAATGCTGTATAGAGTCTGTTTCCACACGCACAGTCAGACGGTGGGATGGATTGACTGCAGTTGTTTAACAGCACAACAGACTGACAGGCCGGCGGCGGCGGCGGAGATCACGGGACGGCTGGACTGAGCTTGCCCTAGCCGCCAGGTGCCGTCGTGACTCCTCCCAGATCAATTGTCTTGTCAATCCAATGTCAGTTTGCTTCTCGCTTACAGAGTTGTTAATTTGGGTCCACTGTGACAAAGTGTAATCTTTGGGAGGCAGTGATGGCCGGTTGGTTGTACTGTAGGGTGTCATAAGGTCAAATTGACACCATCAATACAATGTGTGGCCAGTAGGAATAAAGTTCGATAACGTTTTATCAAATTCAAATCCTTTTTGAATTCCTTATCGAATCTTCGGTTTATCTTTCAGTAACTAAAATATAAAATACCAAGTGAAAGATGTCTGATCACTTTTTCTGGGCTAACAGAAACACGACAGTTTTTAGTGGCAGCCTGATTGATACTGAAAATAAATTGAGCAGAATAATGTATGAAATGTTCATTAAATACATCTGACACATTCAGTTAACAGCTGCAAGTGCTGAATGTCCTGCGTCACAACTATGAAGTTGTTCAGATTAAAATGTTCAAATGATATGAATCAAAAGAGCACTCCACTGATTTAGTATTGCACTGTTTAATTTATGTTTCCTTATTATCCAGCTGTTTCTCACAAAAGCTTAACAAAGCAGCAAACAACAGATAAATATTTAACCGTGAGCATCAATCTGCTACTTCCAGACAGACAATAAGTAAAGCCAGGACTAGATACAGTGGCTGGTGACTCCATAATGCACAAAGAAAGGGAATGAAAACGAGAGTATGTGAGTATTTTTAATTGATGTACTGTTCTTCCTAAATGGTATAAATTGATTAATTAATTGATTATATTAAAAGTAATAACATGTCTTGGTTAACTGTTGGCATGTGTATCAAGAAAATAACACTCAGCTTTACCACACTTTGCATCAGACAAGTTTTTCCAAGTTTAATTGCTAAAATTTGGTCAGTGAAGCAATCTTTTATGCTGGGGACACATTCCTCTGTCCAGCATTTTAATATCACCTTGCACTGCACTATTATAACACTGTCGGACTCACTATGGACAGTCACATAGCTGGACTGTGTATGGGTGAAACTATTAAAAGGATTTTGAAAGAGCAACGGCCAATGGGAAAAGCTCAACACTTGGCTGACCAATGGTGTAACTTCATCACTCACTCACTCACTCACTGACATGCGATTTACTATTTTTATATTTATTACAATATAAAACAGAAAAGCAGCAAAAACAGAACGAACGTCAGAAAAATTACTTAGATGATTATCGGTTGTTCCCTCAAAATATTCTGACTTAATTCTCAAAATCTAAAACATCAATATCCAAATGGAGCAAGCACATGGGATCACAGAGGAAGAATGAAGTGATAAACACAAAACTGTATTAGTTTAACGGCTGGTTTTACTGTGTGAGATGCTCACTGTCATGTGACAAACACAACTAGGTCTGAAGAGGCCCTTTATGGCTCCGTGTATGCGCGCGTGTGTGTGTTACATATTAACTACTGTCCATGAAGTCACTGACTGTATCCATGGTGATGTGCCTTCCTGTCTCTCTCTCTTTCATATTCAGGTAGAAGGCTTTATTAGTTTGTCAGGAACAAAAAACTTTATAGTAGCACACATTCATACCCCACCCACCTAACTCATATACGGTACAGGAGGTCAAACTCCCTGACACCCAATGTATTACCCTGTATTTCACACACTGTTTTAAATGCAACCTGGCAACACAATGATTATGAGAGGTAAGAAATATTGTGGTGTTGAAAAGTGACTTAACGTAATTTGAACGTAATGAACACAGAAAACCTGAGGCATGGTCGTTTTAATCCATCACAGCTTGTAAATAGCTTGTTTTGCCCAACTAATAGTCCAAATATATTCAGTGTACAGTGATATGAAATGGAGAGAAGCAGTAAATTTCCCCACTGGAGCAGCTGGAACCAGAGAAAGTTTTTAGTTTTTGCCTAAATAAATCGAGAATCTGATTAATTACCAGCTGTTTAACGCTTTTAATTGATTACTGCTGCTCACTGGGCTCAGATGGAGTCTGAATTTAAATATAATCTGTTTTTGTCAACAACAGTCAGCAGCTCAGTCTTCAGTGCTCTGTCAGAAACTCAACACTTCTCTTTGACAACATCGGGATTGTTTACCATGGTAACGCTTCGGCAGCGCCATAGCAACCTGCCGCTGGCCGAGGCTGGGAGATGATCTGATGGATACTCAATCTCTCAACATCTCTGTGTCTATCTCCTTTCTTCTTAGAAAAATATCAACATAGGGAATGACATCATCTCCTGTGAGACTGTGTGTGAAAGAGAGCATCAATCATGCAGAGAGAGAGAGAGACAGAGAGAGAGAGAGACAGAGAGAGAGAGAGACAGAGGGAGAGACAGAGAAAGAGAGAGAGAGACAGAGGGAGAGACAGAGAGAGAGGCCTGTTTTATGCTTTCAGGATCAGGACTGAGAACTATTTTTCTTGAGTCATGAAATAGTGATTTTTTTTTGTTTGTTTTTTTTTAAATTCTTTTGTCATTAACACTGTGAGCATTAATCTGACTATAAACATGTACACAGTATAATCGCTGTAAAAAGTGTAATATTGTAATTATTAGAACCCTGTTTTTTAATCTGTATTTATTTATGTATATTTTTTCAAATTGGCTGAAGTTTGGGCAGCCCTGGGCAAATTACTTTTTTTTTCTTAAGTGAAAATCAGCAAATACACATAAAAAATGTGAATCCACTGTTACTTTTTATTTTGAAACTTAGAAAAATAGAAAAAATAATTGAAATAAAATGAATGACTCAGAGAAAGAGCACTAATTTTTATGCTAGTTGCAGCAGTCGGTCACTAAGTGTTGTTAGGACCTTAATTTCCTGCATGAGCTGTGTGTCACAGCAGCCACTGTGTTGGTAAAATCAGCATCCAAACTACAATAACTAACCTCCAGTTGTTTTCAGGACACAGACATCCACCTGTCTCTTTCACCTCCTGCTGTTTCTTTGCCTCACGTCTTTCATTCTGCAACTCTCCTTCAACTCTTCTACGTCCCCCTGGGGAACCTCTATTCCAGAGTGACTGAGAACCTTTAGAGGAAGACAGGAACTTGATCAGCATGTTCCCGGAAGGAACTAGAAACTAAAAGTAGTTCCAGGTGTAAAAGAAACAGTACTTTTTGATGGATCAGGAAATATCAGGGCGGAGTTTAGTGAACTGAACATTGCTGATTGGTCAAACACAGATACAAATTATTTATATATATATATATGTAATTTATTGCCAACTAGTTTAATACTTTAATGGTTTAAATCATTTTGCAAGCTGAAATGCCAAATGTTTGATGCTCCCAGGTTTCAAATGCCAGAAATTTCTGCTTTCCCTTTTCTTATATTAAATATTTTGGGATCTTGGACTGTTGCACAAAACAAGACAGTTACTGAGGTCGTGAGATGTATCACATTTGTTGTCAGTGGTCAGTTGTCCTACTGTTGAGTCTGTTACACAAAAGAAGTTTTAAGCAACTTCCTAGTTCATAGTAAACGACCAGCGTTACATTAGTGACACCCTGGCTCATAGTGCTGCCTTGGAAACCCTTGGATGGGGTGCAAAGCGCTATCCCAAGCCCCAATGCCATCGTGGGTCCTTGAGCACAAGCATTTCTCCTGTTTTACTGTTTAAAAGAAAGATTTAGGCAAGTAAATGCTGCAGGGGTGTGAGCTTACACAGGAATCATGTTTGTTAGAGTAGAGATGAGCCTATGAGTTATTTTGGGGCACCAAAGGGATGAAGCTTCTGGTAATGGTGGGGGTCCAGTAGAGAGAGGAGAGGTGGGGGTGTTGGGTAGCTCCTCCTCACAGGAACTCCTGAGAGCCTGGTCAGAGCCGTGGGGTGGAGTGATGGCAGGGGGTGCGCTGTGTGTATGGGTGTGGGGTCATTAACAGGGCGAGGTCACGGCCTTTTGGGAGCAGATTATTGTAATGAGCTGGATAATGGAGCTGGTGTGTGTGTGTGTGTGTGTGTGTGTGTGTGTGTGTATTGATCCGTGCTGGTCTATGGGGATTTATAATGCGGTCTCTAAATCTGTCTAATGATGAGCTGTACAGGGGTTCAGTGTGTGCCTGCGTGTGTGTTTGGAGTCGATACCGTGTAACCACACGCACTGTCACACACAAGCACACGAGCGTCTGCTCTAAGTACAATCTACAATTCATCCATTTAGACTAGTTTGAATTTATGTGATGAGTACAAACTGGTTGTTAATCCAAACTAAGGTCACATGCAGGACTTAAAGCTGAAGGTGTATTTCTTAAAGTGTGTTCACTTATGATAACAGTGTGTAGTGATCAGTGTTTATTGCAGGCAGGATGAGGACAGTGTCAGCTTTAGTGGAGGAATAATGGTTGTTTTCATTATTAGTTAATCAATTGATTGTTGTTTCAAGGAATCCATTAATAGCTGCACAGATTTTAAAGGCTACGAACGACAGACCTAAACCCAAATAAAGTTTATTTTCAATGATTAATACAGAGAATACAAAAAGCTGGAACCAAAGAGATTATGGGAAATTATGAAGGTCACTTGTTTGATGATTAATAACCATAAAGATTGACAGATTAATGAATATTAAAAATAGTTACAGCTCTAATCATATTTTAAAATTCACTTCCTTGTTCACTCATTTAGTACTTTCTAATAAACATTCAATATTTTACACGATAGACAGAAATAAACTGAGATGTCCATGTCATGGAAAATATTGTAAATAGGGAGGGAATTCCATTAATTTTGCAGCTTTTTGGTCACAAACCAAATTAAAATTTGTGGCGATATATGAAAAGTTATGGTGAAAAGTTACAGGATCTCCACTTATTATGATTCATCATCCGGGAGCCATGAATTTCAGTAAAAGTTCGTACCAATCCATCTAGTAGGTCAACTCGATGAGTGGAAATGTTGATTTTCTGAGGATGCTAGATGAAAAATCAGGGGATTACCAAAGTCTTCTGTACTGTTAAAAGCAAAAAGGTTGAGATATTTCAGTCTGGAACAAAATGGTGATCCGACCATCAGATTGACTTTTCACTGTAGAACATCACAGTAAAATCATCTGTAGAATAAAAACTACAGATGAGAGGACAAAACTTTTTACTCTTTCTTTCTTTTCTTCACAAGTAAACTTGTTGAATGTGATGGAGCCTTAGTGTTAGCTGCTTACAGAGTGTGTGTGTGTGTGTGTGTGTGTGTGTGTGTGTGTGTGTATAGGGTTCAGCAGTCGGCCCAGGTATCTGAAGGTGTTCATCAACCCCAGCAGCCACAAGAAGGAGGCCGTTCACATCTACAGAGAACATGTGGCTTCGCTCTTCAAGATGGCGGACGTCCGCACCGACATCACCGGTCAGTCCGCCTGTTTATTTATTTATCTACTGATCAGTTTTACAACAAATAGAATTGACGGTTATTTTATACCTTGCACTGACAGTGGGTGGAGATGATTTTTGAATTGTATTACACCTCACACGTATTATGATGAAATTCTGTGTAAATCTGGTGAACTGTTGCATCGGTTTGAACATTTTGATTTCGTCTTTATCGACATCAGAGAAGATGTGAAATCTGTGTCTGTGTGAGTGTGTGTGTGTAGAGGAGGTCCAAAGGTCAGAGTTAATGGCAGTCTCTGGTCGCTAGGTAACCTGATACCAGAGGCGGAGCCTAGCCCATCTGTTGTGACAGAGGGAAACAACCTGCTCCTCTCTTCTCCTTGTTTCCTTTCTTTTTCTCCCATTTTCTCCTTTCCTTTCCTTTCCACCCCTTGTCTCCTCTTGTATCCCCTCTCCTCCTTCATCTCCTCCTTTCCTTTCCTTGTATCCTCTCCTTGTCTTCTCTCCTTTCCTTTCCCTCTCCTTATTTCCTTTCTTTTCATCTTGTTTCCTTTTCTTTCCTTTCTTTTCCTCTCATTAGCTCTTTGCCTTTCCTTTCCTTTCCTCATTTCCTCTCCTTGTCTCCTCCTCTCATATTCTCTTTTCTCCTTCTCTCCTCTCATTTCCTCTCCTCTCTGATCCTGGTTTCCTCCTCCTCTCAGCAGATGGTGTGATATCCGTTGTCCGACTTTTTTTGGCAGTCATCAAACACACACTTGTGTACATGTGACCACACACATGCATGAACACTCTGTCTCTGTCTGTCTCAATGTCTCTCCATCTGTTTACCTCTCTCTCTCTCCCTGTCTCTCTCTCTCTTTCTGCCTGTCTGTCTCTCTCTCTCGCTCTCTCTACCTGTCTCTCTCTCCACAGTGACAGAGAGGAAGGGTCATGCTCTCTCAGTGATGAAGGAATGCAAGCTGGATGAATATGATGGGTTAGTTGTTTCTCTCTCTCCTGTGATTTTAAAATGAACACTGGCTGGGAGTAAATCACTAAAATGTGATTTCTTGCCATACAGTAAGTTTGTTAAAGGTAATTATACACAAAATAGTGTTTGATAAAATGTTTAATTTGTGATGTTATTCTTCCATGGTATGTGGTAATATCTGATAATTTCCTATTAAAAGAACATGTGATCTCAGTCACTGGATACTCCACATGATGTTGTTCCACACAGCTGGAGTGAAAGTGTTCATTATAGCATGAAAATTTCTGTGATTGGAAAAAAAAGGCATCATCTTAAAAGCTCATCTAGTTATATTAACGTAATAAAGGCATTTCAGGGCTAGGGATAAAAATCACGAGTTTCAGCAGGTATTACATCATAGAAGATGGGCAGATTTTGGCAAAACTTCCCAGGAAATACTGTATTACAGTCTGGCAGGTGTATCTCCTTTATCTGCACAGACAAACTTATGTACAGGTGAGTTTCACCAGCTCAGGATCCATCAGTGTGTTCTTGTATATCAGTTTAGAGTTACAGTAGTTAGTCTTGGTCTTAGTATTGTAATTATGATAATGAAAAGTATAAAATCAGATTCTAACAGAACCCTTTTTCTTAACACACAAGAAAGAGTTTAGATTTATGGGTTATTATTTGTATTGTCAAATTATATGTTCCACTTTAATGCTACAAGAGAACTAACCAAACATGTTTAATAAACGTAACACAATCTCTGATAATGGCTTTGGCCCAGCTGGAGTGTGAACTTCCCCAAAACCAATTCCAGTGTTATTATTACTGATAGATATGAAATGATTTAATTTTACAGTGAAGAATAAAATCTAACATGTTAAAGCTAAATGACGCTTCAGTTATGAAATAAAGACCCAAATTTTTACATTAAAATGGAAGGTAATGTTAAATAAATGTTGACATGTCAAACTGCGACATCCGTCAATAACAGACTGAACTGAACCAGATAATTAAACAGCAGTTTACAGTCAGAGGCTGACACTAAAACACACTGACCCAGACTGATTACATACACACACACACACACACACACACACACACACACACAGACACACACAGAGAGAAACAGGTGAGGTCAAACACCAAATGCTAATTGAACTAACCTCAATAAAAGTGAAAATAACATTTTATGTAACTGAAATAAATAACAACAGCTACTGTATAACTACAAATACAAAAACACTGAAAAAACACTGATCAAACTCCCATCACTCTATCTGTGATGGTCCGTGTGTGTGTGTGTGTGTGTGTGTGTGTAAGCAGCTTTTGTGCTCAGCCCTCATAAAGCTTAATGTGCTTAGAGAAGATTAGCTCAGCGTTGCTAAGCTAGCTGCTGAGAGTGTGTGTGTCTGTGTGTCTGTGAGTGTGTGTGTGTGTGTGTATGTGAGGCTGCTCTGGTGAGGATTTGGTTGAAACCTACATTTGCCAATTAGGCTGGCTGTCACCGTGGCGACCGGAGCTTCAGGTAATCCCATACACAGGAGGAGGGGGAGGGGGCGGAGTCTGTTCACTTCAAATTTACGGCAAAAACAAACTCTGCAGATGAACCTTCTCACTTTTCAATGAGCTCCTGAAAACAAGGACAGACCTGTCAAACAATCAAGTTATGATCACTGTTATTCTTGTCTTTTACTATGACAACTACTACTGCTACTGCAACACTCCTGCCTCACCTGCACAAAATCTGACAAAACTGTACCCATAATAATTAACACCTACCTAACAATACTCTGAAATATAATGTAATAATAAGAAAATTCTCAAACCAAGGTTGAACATTTTCTTCCATGCTCATCATTTATTATTTTTAGTTTTGACCCTAAGAAATCCCCAAAATAAACTTTTGTCTTGCCGTCAAACAAACTGACAATATCGGACTCACCACCTTTTTTTGAATATTTAAAAAACTACAATGTTTTTGTAATTTATTTATCACAACTGTTGCATTATATTTTCTGTAAATTCTGCCTCCCTTCATTATGGTCTAAATGTTGTTTCAAAGATGTCTACACCTTCAAGTATGTAATTCTGATTGAGGATAATAAATCTATTTTCTTTTCCCAAAAAACAGTTAAAAAAATTTATCATATTTAATCTGGAAAGAAAAACAAATTAATTTCACAGACTGTCACTTGAGCTCACTTTATTGACATGAAGGTCCGGTCCTGAGACAAATTTTTTTCACTGCTAAAGTCACCTTTTTTAATTTGGGATTTTTTGAAACTGTGATTTAAGACTTGGAACTGATGTTATAAATGTTATTTAATTGCTCACAGTCTAAAATTGGTAGAATTTTGATTTAAATCAAGAGATATCTGTTAGAAGAATAAGTTAAATATCATTCAGCACGAAAAAATCTTCAGGTTTGATACCCAGTACTAATGTTATGAGGGAAGTACTCAGTACTGAGGCTTCATACCTGTTCATGGCACCAAAAATAAAGCACCTGTGTGAGTGTTCACTGTCACTGGATTTCACAATAAAAGTTAAGGATAGTTTTAGGATAGTTTTATTTTAACCTGGATAACTGAGGTGGCTTTACAAAGACAGAAATCACTTCCCACCTGTTTGATTCTACCTGTACAACCTGTCCTGACACTGGTCTGTCTCCACCTGTCTGTCAGGGTGGTGTGTGTTGGGGGGGACGGCTCGGTGGCAGAGCTTTGTCACGCCCTGGTCCTCAGAGCTCAGCTGGATGCAGACTCTCCAGAGAAACCAGTGAAACCAGTGCTTCCACTGGGGATCATTCCTGCTGGTGAGAAAGAGGACACACCCACATATAGATGCACAGCGTGTAGATCCGCACACAGTAGATCCAGATTATGTAAAAACTGTCAGGTAGTGGTGATGTCCTTTTATTAACTGTCTGTCTGTCCATCTTTACAGGCTCTACAGATGTGGTTTCCTGTTCTGTCCATGGAGTCAGAGATCCAGTCACTGCAGCCCTGCACATCGTCCTGGGTAGGTTCTCCTTGTTCCCGATCACATCATCCTAGCTCCATAGCCACACTGGCTGTGGTAGGTTCTACCTGATCAAAGTTCTTCCTGTCATTGATCTATAGCGATGTCGTCCTTAATGGGTTCTACCTGTTTTAGATCTATTCTCCGTGGTCATCCTGGATGGTTTTGATCTTTCATAGATTTATAGTCAGTCATCAAGGGTGGCTTCTATCTATTACATCTCTATAGTTGGCGGGTCATCCTGGGTGAGTTCTATCTCTTATAAATCTACAGTCAATCCCAATGTCATTTCATCTACTTGAAGCAGGTCTCAGGGAGCTAATCAGGGTCTTGTGTTCAGGCTGAGCGTTGATGGGATTGGCTGACGGTCACTCAGACAGGTTAGCAGTTTGAAAACAAACAAACCCAGAAAAACAGAAGTTTGGGGGGGTGGGACAGATGTCTAACAGCGGGATCAGTTTCACTCTAAATCACAGCTTTACTCATTGTAGCCACACCCCCTTCACCAATCCCTGCCCCCTCTCAGGTAAACCTGCCGACCAATCAGCTGGCAGCAGACACTCTGAATGACAGTTTGTGGTGAGATGGGGGTTCATTAACACTAATTAACACTGGAAGCTGTGTGTGTGTGTGTGTGTGTGTGTGTGTGTGTGTGTGTGTGTGTGTGTGTGTGTGACAGACAGATGGGAGTATTCAGTGGTTTTAATAAGTCTACTTCCTTAACAATAGTAAACAGTTAAAAATCAGGCAGGAAGCTGTTCCCACGGACACCAGGTGAGTTCAGATGTGTTGACGACACAACCAGGTGAACATACCTGAACTTTTACTCAGTGAAGGTTGTGAACCCATTATTGTTTTACACACCAGTTCCACGGTGAAATTATAAGGCAGGGGCGATATGACAAAATAGATCACAGATCATTTCATCAGAAAATGTTACATATATTGTTTAAAATCAGTTTGAAAACAGCTGTGAATTCATCAGTGATGTTTGTAAACACAGCAGGAAAACAGAATGATATTTTCGATAGAAAATCAAAATGTAAATAAAACCAATAATGGATCAGTTGACAAACGGACAATAAAAGAAAGTTACTTTATGATTTAAACTCTCCAGTATAAATATTGGTTCCACCTTTAAGAAGCGTTGCAGGTTTGATCTCACTGACACACTGACCATCTCAGCTTTAATCCTCATAACACACACACACGCGCCATATGGTGAGGAAATCAGATTCTATCCAGAGAGACAGACAGGCAGTCAGACAGACAGGTGGGGAGACAGCAGTTCAGTAGGTTACAGCAGGTATGTGGCCAGATGGCACTGTGTGTGTGTGTGTGTTTGTGTGTGTGTGTGTGTGTGTGTGTGTGTGTGTGTGTCAGTTCGTCTGAAAGCTGATCAAGCATCATGTTCAATGGTCTCGATGGTGAAATAAGTTTGATGAGGTTGATTTTTCGTCTGTTTTTATTCCAGTTGCTTCTGTTGTTTGTTTGTTTGTTTGTTTGTTGTGGTGATTGCAGCTGTCAGGGGATGATACACATCAATAAACTGCAACTGAGACCAATGGCATTATTAATATGAATAATAATATTGATAATAATAATAACACTTCTAGCCACAGTAGCAACGGAGCTCATTGACTCATAATGAGTAAAAACTTTTCCAAAAGAATCATTACTTTTTCATTGGTAGATCTACCCATCAATTTCCCACCATTTATCTGAGTCAAGGAGAAATTATTAATTAATTATATTACAAAGAATTGTTGTTAAATGCATCTGTTAAGTACTGACAAAAAATTTATAGAAATTTGAATAAATTCATGCACTTAATAAATACTGTGGGCCTTATCGTCCCTATTGGTTTTCTTAAGGATTGGTTAGATAAGTAGTTGTTCAGGTATGTGCTTTGAAAGTGATCAACTTAAAGTGACAATGTGATGTACTTAAAAGTTTAAACTGGAAACCCCAACAGCTGTGTCCACATACAATGTTTTTTATGTAAAAGAAAAAGACTATTCTGCAAAAAGACAGCCATAGGACTGATGCTCGCATATTTGAAAGTCTGAAAGATGATGCATGCTTGTGATGAGCGTTGCCATCACTTGCCTCTGCCATGCACATCTGTAGTGATGTATCACTAGCCGAACACTGAAATACACACCTTTCCTAATAGCAGACTGAAGAACGTCATGTCGACCAATCAGAAACCTTCAGAAACAGACGTTGCTGGCTGCTTCACATCAGCTGGTACAAGCGAATCTGCTGTAAAGGAGACGGTTTCTACGGGACATAAAAAACAGTAAATTTATAGAATTAGTTAAAGGAAAATTTCACACCAAAATGAGAATTGTCTTATTGCTTTAGAAAACAGTTACAACATCCCAATTCAATTTGCATAGAAGAAATCGGAAAAAGGCTATTACACTTGGCCGAGATGAAAAAGTCGACTGAGTAAACAACAGCAGAGACACATTTATCCTCAAACTGCTGTAAATGTTCTTTGAATTCTGCGGCTTCAGAGACGGGTCAGACTGGACTGATATAAAGCCAGGAACTGGTCCCTCTACTGCAATGTGATTCCAGACATTTATGGATACTAACACACACACACACACACACACACACACACACACACACACACACACACACACACACACACACACACACACACCCCCCACCTCACCCCTTTGCCCCTCTCACCCTCCAAACCCGGCACAGTCAGCATCGGCATGGCGACACCAATCGATGCTCCGCGCCCCGCTGAGCGTGTCCGCACAAGGCCGAGCGAAGGGCCCCTCCGCAGGGGATTGTGGGAAAGTTGTGTTGTGATGTGTTGTGTGTAGTATCCATGTAATGTCTGGAATTCACATTGCTAGCTAGAGGGAACCCAGTCCCTGGCTTTTATCAGTCCAGTCTGACCCGTCTCTGAGCCGCCAGAATTCAATAAGAACACTTTACAGCAGAGTAATAACATGTGGTCTTCTGCTGATGTACTCAAGTCCGACTTTTTCATCCTCCGGCCAAGCTCTATAATAGCCTCTTTCCGATTTTCTTCTATGCCAAATTGAATTGGGATTTGTAACTGTTTTCCTAAAGCCCAATAAGACCAATTCTCATTTTGGTGTGGTGAAATTTTTCCCTTTTAATAATTCCGTATAAATTACTGTTTTTTACTGTCCGATAAAAACGTTTTCTGCGCTTTACAGACTCCGCCTCTCTGTTTACCCCGTTGATCGTGAAGCACGCACCCAAGGTAACGATCCCCTGTTGGACGCGTCAGGACCGCTCCTCAACCATCTCCTTGCAAACTTTCCTACTGGCACCTCTAATATACGATACAGCTCCCAAATAACCTCGGGAGCGAACATAGGTAATCTCCACGTCACTTACTTCTGAACACAGCTACACACCGACGCCAGACAGAACAAACTTTCTGAAGGTTTCTGAATGGTCGACATGACGTTCTTCAGTCTGCTATTAGAAAGTTATTTCAGTGTTCGGCTAGTGATACATCATTACAGATGTGCATGGCAGAGGCAAGTGATGGCAACGCTCATCACAAGCATGCATCATCTTTCAGAGACTTTCAAATATGCGAGCATCTAGTCTATGGCTGTCTTTTTGCAGAATAGTCTTTTTTCTTATACATAAAAAACATTGTATGGTGGACACAGCTGTTGGGGTTTCCAGTTTAAACTTTTAAGTACATCACATTGGTCACTTTAAGTTTGATCACTTTCAAGCAATACCTGAACAACTACTTATTAACCATCTTAAGAAAACCAATAGGGACGATAAGGCCCAAGTATTTTATAAGTGCATGAATTTATTCAAATTTCTATAAATTTTTTGTCAGTACTTAACAGATGCATTTAACAACAATTCTTTGTATAATAATTAATTAATAATTTCTCCTTGACTCAGATAAATGGTGGGAAATTGATGGTAGATTCTAGCGCAATGAAAAAGTATGATTCTTTTGGAAAGTTTTTACTTTCATATGAAGTCAATTGAGCTCCGTTGCGAACTTGAGGCTAGAGTGTTAATTATTATTATTACAAGTATTATTATTCATGATAATAATGCCATGTCGGTCCAGTTGCGTTTTATTGATGTGTCATCAGTCCCCCTGCAGCTGACAATCAACCACAACAAAACAAACAACAAACAAACAACAAGAAGCAACTGGAATAAAAACAGACGAAAAATCAACCTCCAATAAACTTATTTCACCATCGAGACCAATTGAACATGATGCTTGATCAGCTTTTCAGACGAACTGACCACACACAACACACACACACACACACATCACACACACACACATACACAACAACACACACCAACACACACAATCACCACAACAACAACCACAACAAACAACCACACAACCACACAAGTGCCATCTGGCCACAGTACCTGCTGTAAGCCTACTGAAGCGCTGTCTCCCACTGTCTGTCTGACTGGCCTGTCTGTCTCTCTGGATAGGA